TTCTCATAAATAAATAAATAGGACAAACTAAGTTACTGTAATTTCCTCATAAATTCACCTGCTGTAATAAGTCCACATGTATACAAATGCAGTTTTATGGACAAAAATGATTCAAATTTAGCATCCACAGCCAATATATTGTAGTTTTAAAAATTCAGTACCTAAAAGCCACATACCAGACCCAAAACTGTCCAAGTGGCAAAAAATCCAACAAATAAAGTAAAAAGTCTTGAAAACTTTACTTTTTCTAACATGAAAGAAATAATCAGTAAGGAAGTCTTTTGAGATCAATTTCAAGAGTTACACAAATATAGTTTCTCAGTTTTTAGTGTATCTTGACGGTGTGCCTATCCATTAACTGCATCTTGCCGAAAATATCCAACATGTTTTTCTAAACAAATTAAACAATTAAACAGCACACCTCATGCCCCTGAAGACCTTCCCTCTTGCTTTGTTTCATTATGTTCTGTGTTTATATAAAACAGGATTATAATACTTTTGCAAAGGTCATGGTAGGATAATACTGATAGTATGGAACCCAAAGAAACATCGTGTTGCTGTGCCTTCTGTGTTTCTTAATTTTTTACTTTTTTGACATTCAATGTTTCAAGAGATAATTCCTGGAATTATTGTTATTTCTAATTATTGTTATTCAACTGAGCATTAGGGCACACTTATCAACACATCTCTCTCCAGAGACATGTTCACTCTGCTTTACAAGGAGAATCCCCTGTGTCTATTTTAAGGAGATAAAAGAAAACAGATAAAACAAAAATTCTTTGGAAAGAATATTTAGAAAACCAATTTCTAACCAGAAAGTACATAAAGTAAAAAATTAAGATTACAACTCATCTTTCTTTTACCAGAGTCACTGACAGCCATGAAGAGAAAATGCCATTAGTCGGTTTTCATAGTATCTATGGTAAGGACTTTTTTTTTTTTTTCTTGGATTTGTAGAAAACAAGAGACACCAAATACTTGGAGCACACAGCTAGGACTAGTCCTTTCTTGTCGATTTCATGTTCTGTCTCAGCAGTTTCCAGCTGAGCTCACCTCTCTCCAAGGGTGTTGACTCTTGATTCTCACTCACGCTTTGGGTGTTTCTCCTTACCAAAACTTCACTTAAGGGGCAGAATATCCAGGCAGTTGCCTCTGCTTGATTTGCTCAGTACTGCCTCAAAAATCTTGACGGTGCTTCTGCTTTCCCTTGCCTTCACATTTCCTTGGTTCCTTTTTCTTTCCTCATGTTCTCTCTCCCTTTCCACCGTTCCCCCTCCTCCTCCTTCCCCATCTGTCTTTCTGCCACTATCTTTAATTTTCTTCAGAATCTTATGTACATTCCAGTACATCGTGGTTTCTTGTTCTCAAATCTTGTTATATAACCGTAACCAGTTGCAGCGTTTTTCTGCAACCCTGCTGTGTTTCCATGGTCTTTAAACTCACCCCTCAATAGTAAGTTGCAGACAGAGAAACATACTCAAAAAAAAAAAAAAGAAAAAAAGTAAAGAAAAATAAAAAGCTTGCAGTTACAGACATTCAGACCTAATGTGAATTGACCTGGGGGCTGTGGCTGCCTGTTGAGATTTTGTCACTTATTGGGACACACAGATTTCTCTCATGTCACTATTTTTTAGATCACAAGTTGCAGAATTTTGGATCAATTTGCTAAGTTTGGCTGGTAACTCTTTCTACTAGCACCCAAGATTACATCATCCCTCAGACCTCCCCAGCTTTAGAGATTTTCTTAAGATTTATCTCTATAGTATGTTCCCCATCATATATAGCCAGATTTGTTTGCAAATTTTCACTTATGCACTATATATACTTATTGTTATGTATGAAAACCACAGGTAAATATAAGCTGAGAAGAGTGTATAATTGTCCTAAAGTAAAACATGGAATACTGATGGTCAGTTAAGTAAAGCTCACAGATCATTTAGGTTTGAGCTCTTCTGTCGTGACCATGTGGCATTAAATAATTGTGCCAAATTTATGCTTTTTTGCTTTTTTACAATCACTGTACACCTTTGGTCATTTAAAGAAATGATACGAGAGTCTCATTTTTAAAGTAAAAAATATTGTTTCATTCAATAAAGGAAAACTATACACTTTGGAAAGTTATGAGTTTGTTTCTTTTACATTATATAAATATTAGTTTTGATGGTTGATTCATTTGTTCAATTATTAATTTTTGTATAGACAAGAATGATTTTAAATATCTTCATAAATAGAAAAATAACACTTAAAACACACTTAAAATGTCATAATCAGAAAAATTAAACCTGTCTTTGTTGTGAAAATGTTTTAAGAATAAAATAGTACTTTGTATTTTAAAGTATTTCTGTTTAGTCTTCATACATATCTGCTCATATATCTTAAAGTAAAAGGTGTGTAATGGCAAATTAATCTTCTGCTGTTTTATATCTTAGACCTATGAAAGGACAACTTTGATCTCAAATAGCTAAATATTAAAGACAGTTATCAGACATTGGATCGGCTTGTTGTGGTTAATAGGCACTTTTTAAACTCAGTACAGTTTGGTAGCTGATTCAGTGTTTCAGGTCTTCCATTGTTATATGATGAAAAAACACATACCAGGGAAAATAGCAATTTATCCTGAACTCTATTTCTTGTTAACTGTATAGACCTGTCAGAACACAAGAAGAAATGAAAAATCGAACATCTGTGAGTGAGTTCATTCTTCTGGGATTAACAGATGATCCAAATCTAAACATTTTGATTTTTATATTTTTATTTCTCACTTACATATTGAGCCTTACTGGAAATCTGACAATTATTACCCTCACTCTGGTAGATTCACACCTCAAAACGCCCATGTATTTCTTCCTTCGCAACTTCTCTTTCCTAGAAATCTCATTCACAACGGTGTGCATTCCTCGGTTCCTGGTGAGCATTGTGACAGGGGATATGGCCATCTCCTATAATTCCTGCATGGCCCAGGTGTTTTTTTTCATACTCCTGGGTTCAACTGAATTTTTCCTTCTGACAGCCATGTCCTATGACCGCTATGTAGCGATCTGTCAGCCCTTACATTACACTACAATAATGAGTAGCAGGGTCTGCATCCAACTGGTGATGAGCTCTTGGCTGGCTGGATTTCTCATCATCTTTCCTCCTGTGATCATGGGACTTCAGCTGGACTTCTGTGACTCAAACATCATTGATCACTTCACCTGTGACTCTTCCCCCATGCTGCTCATCTCCTGCACTGACACGACCTTCCTAGAGCTCTTGGCATTCTTCCTGGCGGTATTCACACTCATGATAACCTTAACTTTGGTGATTCTTTCTTATCTATTCATCATTAAGACAATTCTGAGAATCCCGTCTGCTGAGCAAAGTAAAAAAGCCTTTTCTACCTGTTCCTCACACATGATTGTTGTCTCCATTTCTTATGGAAGCTGCATTTTCATGTATGTCAAAACTTCAGCCAAGGAAGGTGTGGTTTTGACTAAGGGTGTAGCTGTGCTCAACACCTCTGTCGCCCCAATGCTGAATCCTTTTATTTACTCCCTGAGGAACCAACAGGTAAAACGGGCCTTCAAGAATTTGGTCAAAAATTGTATGCCAAATAAAATTTAATGACGAGGAAAATCCATTGCCTCAATATTAAAAAGAACATGGCATGCATTGTAAGAATATTGACCTGGCTTTATTTCTCTACCCACTGCTGCATTCAGTTTCTTTCCCCTGAATGTTTTCCTCGTCTTTTCCACTTTGGTCTCACTTGACACAGTTATCATTTTATAATTGATACACCCTGAAACTTTTCTGAGCATGAGTGATTTTAAGCCACTAAAGTGAGAATGGAGTTTTTAAAAAATGCCAGAATTGATTTTTAGGTTCTCATTGAAGAATTCATACTTTGAGCAATAAGCAAAAGTTAGATAGGGAGGATTGATCGTCAAGCAGCTCTGAGTATTGTTTTCCCAGTGCATAAGTACAGAGTAAAACAAGCTCTCCCATGAGGCTATGTTTCCTCCTTCTGGTGGGTTTCTCCTCTCACTACATCACCAAAGGTCTATTCACAGTAAATAGCTCAGCACGTGCTATTTGAGGCATAGATACTATATCTCCATTGTGGATTCCTTCCTTTATTACTGTAATGCTTGCTGCTTGATATTTTTGTGGCTTCAATCCAAGTTCCTACAAAGATAACTGTTATTCCCACTAGACCCCCCAAACCCTCACCATGAAGCATCTATAATGAACTATTCTCATGGCTGTTTCCTAGCATTTCTGTTGATTTGCTAATACTGAGCTCTGAGTTCATTCACGGTTTCTTTTAAGAAGAACCTGACTTGCCTTAGGATACCTCAAAGCCCCTGTGTTCTTTGCGAATTGTTTAGGCAGTTCAAACCAATATTTGTTCTATCTCTCAAGTAGTACTCAAAATTACTGGCACACTGATGATGTTTTAAATTGTTTTCCAACATTTTTACAGTTAATTTTTTCAAAACATACTAATAGCGTGTAGACTTTGGAGCATGTGTAATTAAGAATACTCAGAGTATCTTGCTATATATTTTTCCTATAAAAGGTTAATTATAGCCCTAAACTTATGAGAATAAAATCTGTTTAGTATTGAAGAAGCAAGAAATGAACAATGAAATCAGTTTACCACCAGCATACTGTTCCATGATAGTTACTCAAATATTCTGTGCTTGGTTTTCCTATCTCCCATTTTAAGAAAACTAGAATTATTCTTTCTAACAAGTGTTTACGGAAGCATGGTTACATAGAGTGAAAATGGGTGAAAAAATAGCTGGACACTATTAGGAATAAAATCTGAGGTTCAAGGACTGCAACCGAAATTGCCAAAGGAACACATTGAAGTTCAAATGTAGTTCAGAAAGACGGTTTTTAACTTTTGCAGAAGGGTACATTAGCTCATTTGGGTAGTGAGCAAGGACACCAGGCAGGAAATTTGTGAGAATTTATCCAACCACAAGAGTGATTGTCCATCAGGGGTCTAAGTTCATAGTCATTGTTCCGGGTTGACAAGTTTTAGAAGAATCTGTCCAAAGAAAATGAAGAAAATGGGAAAGACTGATGGGGCATTCCAGGGTGGGGATGCAGCAAAGCCTTTGTGTAAGCAGAAGCTTCATTGCGTGGGGAGATTACAAGACAGCATGACAAAGGTAACAGTACTGTGAGCATTCTTTTAATAGAATGTATTTGAAATCTTTGTAATCATTTCCCTCAGGATTATGGTACTGGCCTTGAAAACACAACACCAGAGAGCCTGAACTGAAGGACAGTGAATTTCAGGCCAACCTGTCCTACACAGCAAGACACAGAAATATGAAAATTAACAAAGACATCCTGAGATTATGAACATCTATATCCTACATGTAATATTTATATTTGTATTTTTCAGCTAAAAGTTTTACAGATTATACAGTTATGTTTTTGGAAAGTATTTTGCTAAATTTCTAATGATTCTCATTGGAATTGTCAAGAATGCTAGAATCTCTTCTTAAACATCACAGAGCTGGATTTTCTAGCTATTCCATAATTATATGTTCCTTCTTGCTTTGACTGACAATGTTCTTTATTTTTCTAGTAGTCGCTTTGGAATTTCTAAAACTTTAACCAGGTGGTAATATATTTATACATAATATAGCACAAAAAGGGCTGTTAAAGCTATTGACTAGAATTCTATTCAATATACATCTCATTTTTTTCAATATTCACATTAGTACAACCTCCACATTCTTTAATGATATTTAGATTTTAAATTTAATAATTAAATAATATCCCTGGCATAGTAGCCCACACCTTAAATCCCAGTGTTTAGGAGGCAGAGGAGTCAGAGCTCTGTGACTGGTCTACATACCAAGTTCCAGGCCAGCCAGGACTACACAGTGAGATCTTGTCTCAAAAATTAAAACAAAAATAGTAATGCATTCTCAAAGAAATACTTTTAAGTATTTTGACCTGTAGAAAATATTTACATACTAGAGCAAAGTGTTTCTTCAAGCATAACCATACTGATCCTTGATACTTTAGCATGATATGTATGATTCAACATAAAGCCAAAATTGTAATTAATTTATATATGACTATATTATAGAATTCAATTTATAAAAAAGAAGGTGTTTTTCTAAAACTATATATTCAAATAGAAAGGTAAAAGAGAAAAATTAGGAAGGTAGAAAAACAAATGTAAAATAATATACTTAATGTTAATGTTATACTTATTTTTATATCACATACAATTGGTAGAAATCAATTGATAGTTGGTAGATATATATGAATATATTCTTAGGTGAAATTAAACAAAATTCTCACCTCTCAATATCATAACATACCGGAAATGTTTATTCTAATGGTCAATAAGTGAAAATTAGTATAAATCTTTCCAGAGTAATGATGTTAGGAAATGTATTTCCAGTCTCTTCATAATGAAGTGCCAGAACTTAGGCGACCTGAGACATTCAGTTTCAAGGAGTCTCACCCTAGAAGTCTTTGAGTGAAACAAACTAGATTGTGTTAAGTTTCTTGGATTTACAAATCCAATTTTTTCCAATATTCCTTTTTCTACTTTCTCTGCCTCTCCTTTCTGCACCTCCCACAGTGCGTATTTGGAACATGGGCACAAATCCTAAAAGGCCTTCAGACGCTTTCTTCCTTTTGGCTCTTCTTTCCTATCTCTCCTCTGACTGTATGCTTTCAATGGTCTCATCTTCAATATTGGTGATCTTTATTTCCTTTTGGTTCCTGAAACAGGCTGTTGAAGCCCTCTAAGAATTTTCATACTAAGAAAGCACTCTTTGGGTTTAGAGAGATGGCTCAGCAGTTAAGATACCTTTTTGTTCTTCTTGAGGACCCGGGTTCTATTCCCAGCACCCACATGGAGGCTAATGACCATCCAGTTCCAGGGAATCTGTTACCGTTCTGGCTTCCACAGGCATTGCAATATACAGGTGCATTTATACATATGCAGGCTATACACTCATAAAATAATGTAAAAAATAATAAACTTAAAAAATGAAAAGCATTCTTTTCAGATTCAGATTTTATATTTGATTTATTTCTAAAAATTTTACTAGCTTACTGATATCGTCCAGTTATAAATCCCTTTTTTTTGTTTCTCTGTCATTTTCTTGAGTTCTTTGAGCATAGGCAGTTGATTTACAGCCATGATTTAGTATCACCATGATCTGTATTTCTGAGCATCCGTTCCCATCACTTCCATTTTCCTCACTCAGTAAGTCCCCAGTGAATAGGCCATGCATTCTCTTTACTTCATTATGCATTTATTTTTATTTTATGTGTGTAAATGTTTCATCTGCATGAAAGTGTACCCATGTTGTGCAATGTTCATGGAGGTCAGAAGTGGACATTGAATACCCTAGAAGTGAAAGATGAGTGCTAGTCATCATGTTATTTCTGTGAACTGACCCCAGGTCTTCTGCAAGAACGGCCAGTATTCTGAAAAGCTGACTATCATTCCATGCCCCCCCATCACATTTTTCTCTTTCTTTCTTTCTTTCTTTCTTTCTTTCTTTCTTTCTTTCTTTCTTTCTTTCTCTTTCTCTTTCTTTTTCCATAAGTCATGTTATTGTTTTTGAAAACTACACATTTTGAAAGTGGAAATAAGATTCTTTCCGCTCACCAAGTATTGTTGCTGATGTTAATTGAGGGCTAGAATCATACACTTAAAGATTTTTCTAAGCTATTTTGGCATGTCATAAGTCATCACTATGGTCTCTATTTTGTTATCACAATAGTCAGCCAGTGACCTGATATTTCTTAATTGTTTGTTACCGAAAGGAAAAATAAGTAGAACTTTCCCGGCCAGCCTTTACTCCATTCCCTCAGGAAATCTCCACACTCGTGAAAATGAGTAACCAAAATAAATGCACAACGCAGTATTTTAAATTGTGTGTTGCCCCTTGGGACCAGCAAAACACACCAGGAATTGAGGTTGCTGTGCCCACACCTATCATAATGGTAGATAATGGAGGGTGAGGTACAAGACCCACAGCCGAATATTCTTATACCAAAATTTAGAGATCTCCTCTCTGAAAAAAATAATTTGTTGATTCTTTGAGAATTTCATACAATGTTATTCAGTCATATTCAGATCCCCTCCATCCCTACCATACCACAACCCACAACTTCATGTCTCCAATTATTATTTTTCTTTGTTAATGTCTTTAGAGTCTCGTTTGTTTTCTCAGATGCTCTTGGGTGTGGATCCATCCCTTGAAGTCTGGTCAACCTACCAGATGTCACATCCTTACAGAATATCGGCTCTCCCCCTCCAGCAGCTATCAATTGCCAATAGGCCCTCGGCTATGACTGGCAAGTTTTCTCCACCTCCCTTTTCCATTCTGCTTTTTTTCTCCTGGCCTTAGCTTGCACAGATCTTGTGCATCTAGAGTTTAAAAAAATGATTCTATCAATCTTGCTAGCTTAATGGTTTCTTACATAGAGGTACTAATGTTTTCAGCACCGTGCTCTATTATTTTTTACTTACAAAGGAGAAGTTTTAAATTCTGATGGTATACAGTCATATCATTTTTCTTTTTGTGAAGTTTTCATGAAGCAATAACTCCAGTAAAATGAATATT